AAAATAATTGGTCCCATGATTGGGCATGAGGGAATTCCCTGGTGGTCCAGTGGTTAGGACTCGGAGCTTTCACTGCTGGGGAGCTCAGGTTCAATCCCTGGTCAGGGACCTGAGATGCCACAAGCTGCACGGTGTGGCCAAAAAAATTGAGCATGAAAGCTCCTTTACTGCTGTCCTCTCAAGACAAGGTGTTCTTGCCCCTTACATATGTTTCTAAACTTTGCTCTTGATCTCCACTATTTGTAGTTTTTAGACTCCCTCCCTCCCTCCCTCCCTCCCTTCCTTCTTCCCTCCCTCCGCTGCTTCCAGGCAAAAGGTATGTAACCTCAGTGAGGATCTGAACACCAAGCACTTTAAATTTTTAACAGAATCAAAGCATGTCTTAAAATGAATGGGCCAAAGTACTTTATGATAAGAAGTCCTGATGCATTATTGCTGTTTTTATAAGTTTTATAGTCACTGGAAATGCTGATCATGGATAGCCATGTATGCTCGAATTATCTAAAAGTACTTTGAGAAAAAATAAAAGTTAAAAAAAATCATATAGCAGTAGCAGATTGTACATGAGCTTTATAATAAAACTGTCCAGGGCTTCCCTGGTGGCGCAGTGGTTGAGAGTCCGCCTGCCGCTGCAGGGAACACGGGTTCGTGCCCCGGTCCGGGAAGATCCCACATGCCGCGGAGCGGCTGGGCCCGTGAGCCATGGCCGTTGGGCCTGCGCGTCCGGAGCCTGTGCTCCGCAGCGGGAGAAGCCACACGGTGAGAGGCCCGCGTATCGCAAAAAATAAATAAATAAAACTGTCCAAATGCTAGCTTTATCTTGTACTGACTTTATCACTTTGGGCGAATTATTTCATCTAGCTGAGTCCCAGTTCCCTTTTCTATATAAAATAGGTAAAATTTTACTTCCCCCACAGAAGTAAATAAATTAACAAAAGTACCTGGCACAAAATTGGTGTTCTATAGAAAACCACAAAGCATTCATTATTGTTCAATATTCTATAATACGGTATCTGATTTAAGCTGTTGCTTTGACACTGAAAATACTTATCCAGAAGGAAGCTGTAGTCTAAAATCTTAAACGAAAACTGACCACTTACGAGGTCCAGTATTGCTCTGCATAGTGCCTGGAGCAGAGGACATACTCAATACAGATATGATGTATGTCTTGACTGCATTTTTAGGTCAAGAAATTTGAAAGAGGGACCATCCTTATTAAGAAAGGGAACTAGTATCACAAATAGTAAAGGGTTTTTGTTTTTTGGTGGTTTTTTTTTAGCTCCACTCAGTTTGTGGCTTAGTTTGGCCTAGGGTGGCACCTAGCATCAGCGTTTTTCTAAGCTCCCCGGATAATGAACAGTAAAACCCTTAAATGAAATAGGCTTGCTGGCTTGTATTTGGGAACAGCAGGTATGAGGAAGCACAAGAGGATTCTACTCCACAACCATTTAAGAGAATAGTACTATCAGGGATAGAAGGTGGTGGCTGCCTTGGAGAGGAATAGAAAGCAGGCTAGTTTAGCTGACTGCCCAGAAGCACCAGGCTAAGAGCAAGGTCCGGGGCCTGAGAAAGAGCCCTGGGCTTTTTTTTTTTTTTTAAATTTATTTAGTTTTTTGGCTGTGTTGGGTCTTTGTTGCTGCGCACGGGCTTTCTCTAGTGGCCGGGGTGGGGGGTGGGCCCTGGGCTTTCAATAACTATTCTCAGATGGATTTAGGAGTAATGACACCACTCAACATTTAAAAGAGGAATTGTGCTTCTAATATAATTTCATATAGTTTAACATACTTCCTCAGGGCTTTAATCCGAAAAAGTTTGATTCAGCCTTCAAATCTCTTAACATGTCCTCAATCTGAGAAGCTTCCCTGCCACCTCTCATCCCCCTGCATTGATTTCTATGTCTTTTCTCCTGCTCCCAAGGCACCCTGAGCATATCACTCTCCAGACTTGTGGATCTCCCTCCATGTGGACTGAAAAAAAGCTCTTTGAAAATGAGGGCTATGTGCTTTGACATTATCCCTGGCACCAGCATTGTTTCTTGTTTAGGGTTGCATTCAAATATTTACTGAGTGAAGAATGAGAAATGAAGCAATTTACTGAAGGCTTACTTTGAGCCAGGTATTTTGCTGGTCTTTAAAGTAGGTTCTTTTATTTGAGGATTCTGGTTGTCTTTTTGAGATTAAATTTGTAAACATGAAGCAATTAACATGATGTAAAATTGCAAAATTTTTTGTACAGGAAAGTACAGAGATAATTCAAAGGGAGAGATCTATGTAGACAACGAATGCAAAATATACTTACAAATATGAAAAATATTTTAAAAATATGGTTAATTCTCAATTACTCATACTAACGGGGAACAGTGAAGTAGCTGAATTTAAAGACCAAAGTCCTTGAACTTTTTCTTTTAGTAGATATTCTGTTTTTGTTTAGACCGATAGTAAAACGAGTTCTTATTCCCTAGCATTTTGCTGATAAGAGAGGAGAGCCACCTAAAAGAGTGTTAAGGGGCAAGGAGAAGCCTTGAGATTTGGAACCATGTTTTTACCGTCTTTCTGTCTCTAGCGTGCAGCTTACCTGAAGCACCAAGTCCAGACCTCCCAGACTGCTATTCATATGCAGTTTGCCGTTATAGCTCAGGATTTCAAAAATGTAATGGTTCATCACATCAGTGTAACAAGAACAAACAAATCACAAAGCAGTTCACACTGGGCTCTTATAATCCTCCAGCCTTTAAAACTTTCATCATTTATGCTTTCATCTTAAGCCCTCTGCCCCTCACAGGTTTACTCACTGAGAATGAGTTTATAAGAAAAATAGACGACATGTTTTCTGTTTAAATAAGCAACATCTAAAACCGTATTTATAAAACTCTTACCAAGAATTTAAAATTTTCAAGTTTTTCTTTGTAAACAGTAGTTTACAGTTCTAAAAATACAACGCACTCATGAATCTTGACATAACCTTCAGTAAGTAGTACCTTCATTTTATTGACATGTAGCCTTATTAACTGCTCACTTTGAATACATACCTGTTCACCATACAGTATAGGTCGGTTTAGGTTTAATCCCTTAATTGTTTGGTTTTGAGTTAGAACTGTAGCGAATGCTATCACACTCTGCATTCCCTAAAAACAGGTAAATTCATTAAGGAAACTGACAAAGTATATAAATTAATTGATTTCAAGATCAGTAATCTGGATTCTGACAAATCAAAATCGTGTTTTTAAAAAGTTTAAGTAATTTCCTGATCCTTCAGTTGTAGGTTGATCAAATTCAGAAATGAATTGTTACTGTGTTATTTTCTCTCCGCCCTGAAATCTGTAACATACATGGGGAGTTTCTTAAGGTTTCAGTATCCATTTCCTCCGGTGTTTACCTCTAGGTTTGCTCCTAACCCCTCAAGGTTCTATATGATGCACAGAAATACAGACACACAAGTGGATCCCAGCTAGGGCTCTATACTACTTATAGTGTGTATCCTTAATGCAAGCTTTCTTTTACATTCATACTAGTACTTTAAGTGTGTGTTTGTGGCAGGAAAGGGTTACTAATCACATTTTTCACTGCTGCCACAGGCCTCCCTCTACCTTATTGGAAGGGCCTAGTCCTCCGCCATCTCTGTGATGCACACATAACATCTAGTTGTTATGCCAGAAAACCTGGGCTTTCTTCCACTTCACCAGTCAGTCTTCTTACTCTCCTATCAGTTGATCAGCAAGTCTTACAGATTCTGCCTCCAAAAGATGTTTCAAATTAGTCCATCTCTGTAGCTACCACCCCAACACTAGTCCTCATCACCCACCTGAATTACTGCGGAAACTGCCTAAGTGGTCAGTGGGCTTCCTCTCACCACCCTCTAATTCCCCACAGAGAAACAAGAGTGATCTTTTACAAGCACCAATCATATCATGTCACCCCTCAACTTAAAGCCTTTCCATAATTTGCATTTAACTCCCTTTGTGTAGCTACTCTGGCTTTTTAGTTCTCAGACTCAGTATTTCATAATTCATGTACTCCCCTCATTATTTTTGCCATATCTGAGTATCAGTTTTACTCTTTACCTAATACTTTTCCATTAAATCAACTCACTTTTCATTTATATTTATTTTAAAACTGTTTCACTACCATAAATGGAAAGCCACAATCCCTTGAAATAAATAGAAAGCATTTGTAAAAATAAATATGTATTAAAATTACCTCAAATTATGTCAGTCAGTATGCTACCCATACCACACTTGGGGAAGCACTATCTTAGAGTCTGTGTGTTCTGGACCCCCTGCCTGGAATGTTCTGCCATGGGCCCTCTTCAAGGGAGCTCTTTCTCATCCTTCACGACTCCTAAGTGTGACCTCCTCAGGTCTTCAGGGAACCATCCTATCATGCATATTACCTTCTGCCCATTATCAGAGTACTTTGCCAACTTTGTAGCACTTTTCTCTAATTTACTGATGTTTTCCTAACTAAAATATAACCTTTATAAGGGCAGAGACCATATCTGATGCACTCCTGTATCCTTAAAATCTAGAATTGTGACTGGTATGTGTAGACAATACACAGTTGACCCTTAAAGGGTCAAGGATCAACTGTGTACCTTGGTATCCATGGATTCAAACAACCTTGAATCCTGTAGCAACTGTAGTATTTACTATTGAAAAAAATCTGCATATAACTGGACCCCAGCAGTTCAACCTGTGTTATCAAGAGTCAACTGTATATTGAATTAATGCTTTCCCAAGACCGTACTGGCTGCATCTACCCCCTTCTTAAGTTTTAGAGCCTATTACCCCAAAGAGCCTCCTTGGCCCATCTTACTGTTTTCCTGTCCCAGTAATTTTGCATTAACCTATTAACAATAGGTTCCTAACAGTAGGCCTGAAGGTTTGAAGGCAAGTTTGAGAAAATGAAGGCTAGAATTTGAAGACATGCAAAACAGACAAACTTCTCATTATTAGTCCAGATGAAGGCTCAGAGCAGCTCTTAGCATCATCTTAGGTTTTATGCCATAACATAACTACTCACTGCAAAATGTTTCCATAAGTAAAAAATTTATATTATACAAATGAAGTAGTATTTGTTTAATTAAAAGGAACATAATCATCTTCTTTAGAAAATCCCATACAAGTTAAGAAGGGTAACAGATGGAAGTTTAGGAAGATTTTTATTACACTGGATATTCTTCCATAATATTATTATAATCTGATTCTTATTTAAGAAAAATATTTTCTCTGATATTAGACCTTAGAGACAAGCTTAATCATTCATAAGACTGTCATTTAGCTGGTCTCTGACACTTCTCTATGCTAGTTTCCAGGGAGAATGATCCAATATCTGAGTGACTATCTCATACCCAATTTTACTCACCAGATCACTGTCACCCAGATCTAATTTCTCTAAGGATGAATTAATTTGTAGCATTGCAGCAAAAAACATTCCACCCTTATTTTCAATCTTGTTTCCAGTCATTCTTAGGTGTTTCAGAGTTGTATTCTTCTGAAAAGGAAAAGAGGCAAAACTTGGTTAAAATTTTAACCCACAGAATTCTCTTTAGATTACGTGAGTTAGGAGACTATATTACTATTTGCAGACTCATCAGTTTTTCATGGAGATAGAACAGGATATATTCCTTAAAGGTAACATTCAATTTCCCATAACAGACAAAAATCTAGTTTAATAGTTTAGTAGAAAGAATGCCCAGGAAATAGATACCAAAATAATGACCAGTGAATGAAGCAGATTTTAATAACTTTCCTTTCATTAGAAAATCTATAAATTTATCTTCTAAGAAAATTATACCACCTTTTAAAATTGAGATGAAATTCACACAACACAAAATTAACCATTTTGAAATGTACAATTTGAGACTTCCCTGGCGGTCCAGTGGTTAGGACTCCATGCTCTCGCTGCCGAGGGCCAGGGATCAATCCCTGGTTGGGGAGCTAAGATCCTGCAAGCTGCACGGTGCAGAAAAAAAATAAGCAAGAAAATGTACAATTCACTGGATTTTACTACATTCGCAGTGTTGTGCAGCCATCACCTCTAGCTAATTCCAAACCATTTTTATCACCCCTAAAGGAGACCCTGTACCCATTAAGCAATCACTTCACATTCCCCTGTATCATTTTGAAAGTGATACAGTTTCTCAGACATTTGCGAAGTTTAATTCCTTCTCTTATTTCATTTCTTTTGATAAATCTTTCACAAAATTACAGACATTTCATTGTCCTAGTGAATAAATATTTGGACATACAAGTGTAAATAATTATCTTTAAAATTAAGTCAAATCCCTTTAAGAGTGGGAAGAAGGCAAGGATGTCCACTCTCACTACTTCTATTTGATATTGTACTGGAGGGTCTAGATAGGACAATTAGGCAAGAAAAAGAAACAAAAAAGGCATCCAGGTTGGAAAAGAAGTAAAACGCTTGTGTGCATACGACATGATCTTATATGTGGAAAATTCTAAGGAATCCACCAAAAAAACCCAAACCAAAACAAAACAAAAGCTGTTAGAACTAATAAATGGGGAATTCCCTGGCAGTCCAGTGGTTAGGGCTCTGTGTTCTCACTGCTGAGGGCCCAGGTTCAATCCTTGGTCAGGGAACTAAAATCCCACAAGCCAGCCAAAAAAAAAAAAAAGAAGAAGAACTAATAAATGAGTTCAGCAAGACTGCAGGACACAAGATCAATATATAGAAATCAACTGTATTTCCATACACTAGCAATGAACAATTCAAAAATGAAATTAAGAAAATTCCATTTATAATAACATCAAAAAGAATAAAACATTAGGAATAAATTTAACAAAAGGGCAAGACTTGCACATTGAAAACTACAAAGCATCAAAGCATGGTTGAAAGAAATTAAAAACAACCTAAACAAGGACTTCCCTGGCAGTCCAGTGGTTAAGACTCTGAACTTCCACTGCAAGACGCATGGGTTCAATCCCTGGTCGGGGAACTAAGATCCCACATGTTGTGCAGTGTGGCCAAAAATAAATAAATATTAAAAAAATAAAAAACTAAAATAAAAACAACCTAAGTAAATGGAAACACATCCCATGTTCCTGGATCGGAAGACTTAATATTAAGATGGCAATATTCCCCAAATTGATCTAAATATTTAAAGCAATCCCTCTCAAAATCCCAGTTGCATTTTTTGCAGAAATTGATAAACTGATCTTAAAATTCATGTGGAAATGCAAGGGACCCAGAAGAACCAACATAATCTTGAAAAAAACAAAGAGGACTCACTTCTTGACTTTAAAACTTACTACAAAACTACAGTAGTCGAGATATTGTGAGACTGGCCTAAGGATAGACATATAGATTAAAAGAATAGAATGGAGAGTACAGAAATAAACCCTCACATTTATAATCAACTCACTTTCAACAAGGATGTCAAAATTAACGGGGAAAGAACAGTCTTAACAAAAGGTGTTGGGTCAAATAGATATCCACATGAAAAAGAATGAAATTAGACTCCTACTTCACATCATATATAAAAATTAACTCAAAATGTATCAGAGAACTAAAAGAGCCAAATCAAAAAGCTGTTAGAAAAAAACGTAAGTGTAAATCTTCAGGACTTTGGATTAGGCAAAGTCATGAAGTTGTAGCCTTCTTAGATACATCACCAAAAGCCCAAACAACAAAAGAAAAAAATAGATAAAATGAATTTTATCAAAATTAAAAAATTTTGTGCTTCAAAAGACACCACTAAGGAAGTTAAAGGCAACCTACAGAATGTGCGAAAATATTTGCAAATCACGTATCTAATAAGGGACTCCAGAAAGGGCAAAAGATTTGAACAGATAGTTCTCCAAAGAAGATATACAAATGACTAATTAGCACATAAAAAGATACTCAACATCTTTATTCATTAGGGAAATGCAAATCAAAACCACAAAACCTCTTCATACCCACTAGGATAGCTCAAATCAAAGAGACAATAGGGCTTCCCTGGTGGCGCAGTGGCTGGGAGTCCCCCTGCTGATGCAGGGAACATGGGTTCATGCCCCGGTCCAGGAGGATCCCACACGCCGCAGAGCCGCTGGGCCCGTGAGCCTTGGCCGCTGAGCCTGCACGTCCGGAGTCTGTGCTCCGCAACGGGAGAGGCCACAACAGTGAGAGGCCCGCGTACCGCAAAAAAAAAAGACAATAACAAGTACTGGTGAGGATATGGAGAAATCAGAACACCCATACATTGTTGGTGGAATTGTAAAAAGGGACAGCCACTTTGGAAAACAGTTTGGCAGTCACTCAAAATGTTAAACAGAGTTTCCAAATGAACCATTTCACTCCTAGGTATGTACCCTAGAAAACTGAAAACATACATGCACAGAAAAATGTGTGCAAATGTTCACAGCAGCATTATACATTATAGACAAAAAGTGGAAACCCAAATGTCCATTAACTAATGGATGAACAAATGTGATATATTTCCAAACAATGGAATATTACTTGGCAATAAAAAGAAATGAAGCATGTTACAACATGGATAAAATTTGAAAGCATTAGGCCAGTCACTAAAGGCCACATACTGTACGATTCCATTTATAAATGGCCAGAATAGGCAATCTACAGGTAGAAAGTAGATGTGACTGCCAGGTGCTGGCAGTAAGAGTGAGAGAGAGAAGCACAGAGTGGGATTACTAATGGGTACAGGGCTTCTTTTTTGGGGGAAAATGCTCTAAAAACAGTGATAGTGGTGATGGTCACATAACTGTGAATATAACTGACTGTTGAACAACACAGGGGTTAGGGGCGACGACCCTCTGTGCAGTTGAAAATGAGTTTAACTTTACATTTGGCCCTCTGTATCCGAGGTCCTGCATCCTCAGATTCAACTGACAGTGGATTGTGTGGTACTGCAGCATGTATTTAGTGAAAGAAATCTACATATGAGTGGACCCATACAGTTCAAACCTGTGCTGTTCAAGGGTCCACTGTATTCAATATACTAAAAAAACACTGAATTGAACACTTACAAAGGGTAAATTTTGTATACATGAATTATATCTTAATAAAGCTCTTTATTTTTTTATTCTCTATTTTTTTAACTGAGGTATAGTTGATTTACAATGTTGTGCTAATTTCTGCTGTACAGCAAAGTGACTCAGTTATACACATATTCTTTTTTTATATTTTCCATTATGGTTTATCCATAAAGCTGTTTATTTTTTAAAATGAGTTCAAAAGTGCTCATGTAATGTCCAGATTTTAATAAATTGAAGTGAAATAAAAAATATACATTCGCATAATATTAAAATAAGTTGACATTAACATTTGTTTCTGTTGGTTCCAAGCTAAAACTAAAGAAGTTAAAATTCCCAAATAAAATGTTAGTTTGAGGTATACGAATGCTTACATGTAGTGCTTTAGCAATCAGTTCTCCACCTTCAGGCCCAATGTCATTAAACATAAGGTTTAAGTAAATGAGATTATGTTGTTTCTAAAATAAGGAGAGAAAAGAAGCTATTACATATATATTATTAGAAATCAATAATATGTAAGAGCTGCTTTTTAAGTAAAAGTGTTTACCTCCCAAAAAAAATCTTTATAACCAGGAAATTTCAAGGTCCAGCAAAAGAAAGGGCCATTAAGGGAAAAAATCAACATGATCATTTAAACAAATATAATGGCAATATAAAGAAAAGAACTATATTCATTTTTGATCAATGATTCAAAGTATGGATGTGCTTTATGTACTTAACCATAGTGTATGAGTTTGCAGAAGATGACTCAGGAGGCTCTAGGTACCAGCTCTACCGAGACCAAATACACAAATGCGTTTTTAGTATATTTCAAGTGTTATAAATATGGCACAGAGTCAGGACACTTGACATTTTGCAAAACTAGTGTTTTGTGTGTGTGTGATTAGACTAGGTGATTTCACCGTAAACAGAACTAAGAATATTTTGATGACGATACTTTTGCAGCATTTTTATTTGTGGTTGATGAAGATAACTTGGTTACTTCACTTTTTTTTTTTTTTTTTAATTTTCACTCTGTCCTTACATGTGTGCCATTTCATGGACATGAGAATTTTAAGTTCATTTTATTTTATTATTTATTTATTTATTTATTTATTTTTTTGTTTGTTTGTTTGTTTTGCGGCACGCGGGCCTCTCGCTGTTGTGGCCTCTCCCATTGCGGAGCACAGGCTCCGGACGCGCAGGCTCAGCGGCCATGGCTCACGGGCCCAGCCGCTCCGCGGCATGTGGGATCCTCCCGGACCGGGGCACGAACCCGCGTCCCCTGCATCGGCAGGCGGACTCTCAACCACTGTGCCACCAGGGAAGCCCCTAAGTTCATTTTAAGCTCATTAGAAGCACTTGTAGCAGATGAGAAAGGAACAAATAGGAAATTAAAAAGCCAATTTAAGGGAAGAATAAAAAATGATATATGCTGCTTTAAACATTTTATTTTAACTGAAAATACAGACATACATACGTATGTGCCAATCTTCTGAGGTTGAAACAAAGCCTTTTCTTTAACGACACCTATTCTGATTGGTGGACCACACTGTCTTTCGTAAATAAAATGCAACCATAAAACAGCATTTCAGCTTGGGTGTCTCCAAAGTGAAGTCTGCAATAAAGGGTTAGCTTAGCAGGCTAGGGATGCTGAAACCCTGCACGTTCCAAAGAAAGGGCTGGTTCTTAACTGGGTCCTGGGAGAAAAAAAAAAAATGAAGCAAGAACATTTTGTAGTAAAATAATACCTGAAGCAGTTCTGTAGCATAGGATGCACCAACATCACTTATGAGGTTATATCTAACATCCAAACCTGAAGAACACAGATGAATAGAAGCTGATATTCCTTCTAGTGAACACTTAAAATCAGGAAAATGAAAGCTGGAAGGAACGATTCTTAAGGAGACATACCATTAATATATGGATTATTCTTTAAAATTCTGCAAAGAATCCAAAAATCTTCACCTGTTACTCTTTCTACTGGCATTAAGTGACAGTTACCAGCAACATTTAATGTGATTCCTGCCAATCTGTTAAAATATAAAAAAGAAATCCAGTAAAGAAATAAAAGTATTTTTCCTTCATGTTTAGTAACATCATGGATAGAATTTACTGGAACCAAGTAGGTACCACAATACAGATTTATATCAAGTAACTTAAAACTACTGAATATTCTACAGTTTTTGCAAAGCACCTTAATATATACATAGTTTAGGGCTTCCCTGGTGGTGCAGTGGTTGAGAGTCCGCCTGCCGATGGAGGGGACACGGGTTCGTGCCCAGGTCCAGAAAGATCCCACATGCCGTGGAGCGGCTGGGACCATGAGCCATGGCCGCTGAGCCTGCGTGTCTGGAGCCTGTATATATATATATATATGCATAGTTTAATTTCTCAACCACAAGAAAACCAAAGTATTCCCACTTGACAGATAATGACATTGAAGACTTCAATGATTTGGATAAGTAAACCCGGCTAACAGGAGTTAAGGACAAATCTGGAACTCAGTAAACTCCACTACCTCCAAGACCTAACTATGTCAATCATCTGTGCTGAATCAAAAAGTATGTCCACGTTATCAAGCATTTCCAAATGGCTTTCAAATCACTCAGTGTTCCAGTATTTTCACACAGATGAATATCAGTGAATGTTACTGATGTAATCAAGTATTTGTCTTCCTTACCCCTTTTCAATTTCTTCATCCACTTCTTGGAGTATATGCAATATAAAAGGTTTAATTTCCTGGGACTTTTCCATACATAGCTCATAATAATATTCCTGTAGACCGCCAATAGGTTCTGCAGCTTTTGAAAAATAAATGCATTACCTTTCATCACATATACATTATCCCAGGAGCTTCCCCCACGCCAAAAAAAAATTAGACTTCTTTCAAAGATACAAATGTGTGCGTATAGAGTTGAGGGCAGGGTGAAGAAAAGGAGATGACATTTAAAATACAGAAAGGGAAGAAAAATAAGAAGGAATGGGAGAGAAGAAAAATGCTGTTTGGAGAACTAGGGCCATAGAAGTACCCACTGAGAGTGGGCAGACACTAACTTCCAAGTGACACAAAGGGACAATTAACCTCTGTTATGTAACAGGCCTGGCAGCTGAGGAAAATGATGTCCAGAGAAATTACGTATTTTGCCTAATATCATACAGATAAATAAAGGCAGAGTACAGAATCATACTGACTCCAAAGTCTCTTCCTACTCTGCTATAATGGGTTAGGGTGACTCAAGGTTGCTTATCATGGCTTCAAACAAAGACAATTTTATCATAGAGTCTAAACTCAAAAGGGATCTGAAAAATCACCAAGTCCAAGAGGCTTCTTGGAGACCCTCTATACAATGCACGTTGATGGCATTTGAATACAGCTCTGTCTGTGTTTCCTAACACCAAGTTGAGGCCTAGCTCACAGAAGCACTTCACCTACCCTGGCCTTCCATGTCCTCTTTCTAAAGGTGATTTTCCCTGTCCAGTCCTTAGTAACGAAGACAGAAACAAAACAGGAGTTAAGAACTTGTTCCTTTGTTATACCTGCACTTTTCCTTAATGGTCTTATTATTTTCGATATTACTTTTTAAAAAATTTTTGTTGGAGTATAGTTGATTTACAATGTTGTGTTGGTTTCAGGTGTACAGCAAAGTGAATCAGTTATACATATACATATATCCACTCTTTTTAAGATTCTTTTCCCATATAGGTCATTACAGAGTACTGAGTAGAGTTCCCTGTGCTATACAGTAGGTCCTTATTAGTTATCCATTTTATATACAGTAATGTGTATATATCAATCCCAGTCTTCCAATTTATCCCTCCTCCCTCCCCTTCGCTATTACTTTAAAAGCATCCTTTTTGAGGCCCAGGCCTTCTTGGGTAGAAGGTATGCTGACACTTTTCTTAGAAGCACACACCGCTGTCTGTATTTTCTGTCCTACCTTTTGGGTATGTCTCTTCAAGAGTCCATGCTCAGAGATATCACTACTCAATCAGCCTGAGGTCTTTAGGATCCAGCTTCTCTAAGTCTCTACATCTCAAAGATCTTATTTGCTGAGTGGATTTCTGCACTATATGAACTAAAGAGTTTGCTAAACAAATATGCAAAACAAGATTTAAGATGAGGAACATCATATTACAAGTGAAAGCAAATAAACTTTTCTTATAGTTTCTTAAAATAAACTTAAAAAAAATAAATTTAGGGGACTTCCCTGGTGGTCCAGTAGTTAGGACTCTGTGCTTTCACCGCACTGCAGTGCAGCCCAAATAAATAAATAAATTTAACCCACACTTATTTCAGATAACTTGGAAATTTCAATATCAAAAAGAAAATAAAGAAAAAAAAAGAAAAGAAAAGAAACATTCATCAGCAATCCCACTACTGAAGAACCACCACAACTGAGATCTGGGGATATTTCTTCCCTATTATTTTTCTTTTTCTATATCCTTTTTTTTCTTCAGTTAACATTGTAAGCAGCTTTCCCATATCATTAGATATTCTCTGAAAATTTTTAGTGTCAGCATAATTTCTGTCTTGTGGACGGATGCACATAAGAAATCTTTCACTTACCAGATATAAAATAGATAAACAAGGACCTACTATATAGCACACGGAATTATATTCAGTATCTTGTAACAGCCTAAAACGGAAAAGAATCTGAAGAAGAATATACCTATATATATACGTATGTGTAACTGAATCACTGTGATGTACACCTGAAACTAACACAACATTGTAAATCAACTAGACTTCAATTAAAAAAATTTTTTTTAAAGAAATCTTTCACTTACTTTAGGAAATTTTCATGTATTTAAATAATACTTTAGCACAATATTTCCCAAATTGTGTTCTGTGGAATACTAATTTACAAGATGATCAAAGATGCTCTAAATAGAATAGGTTTTACTGTCAAATAAGTTTGGGAAATGATAAATTGAACAATGCTAAACAGATTCCTATCTACAACATTTCTCAGGACATTTAAAACTCTCAGGTGATCAAAGATTCCTCAGATTGTTGAGCCTGGCGGGGAGGGAGGTTAAAAGTGCTCCCAGACTTAGGACTTTCGTGACCATGGTTAACATGGAATGCAATCCAAAAAATGCTAGTGTAGCGTCCTCAACAGAAAACAAAGCAAGTAGATCTCAAACGGATTTACTTCCTGGAACTGGGCTCCCACTGGGTTTCTTTCCTCTCTTCTGGTTACTACTTTCCTCGGTATTAAAAATGTTAAACAAAATTTCAGAAATAGAGACCTGATTGAAATAAAGACATGTTTATGTGGGGTTTGTTAGGACTGCAACCCAGGAGACACAGATCCAAGAAGCACTTGAACTGTGTTCCACCAGACTACAAAATGGTGCAGGCTTATAAATGCAAAAAACCCACAAGGTTACATAAATTGTTTGTCAAGAATTAGGATTGGAGCTGGCAAGAAGTAAGGGTGCTTGGTAAGCAAGGATTGGTTAGGAGTCTGAAACAATTACAAAATTGCAAAGGTGGGGGTAATTTGAAACTACAAGGTTGCAACTAGCAGCTGCTAGCAGATTCCGTTTTGAAAACAGCTGGTAGTCTCCTTGAGTCTGATACAGTTTAGAGAAAATTCAAGTTCTCAGTGATGAAGGAATGCATCTGAAATCATATCCACGATGGCCACTTGGCTCCATTTTGTATGCCTGTACCACAGTTACCCCATTTTGATTTTTAAACGATCTTAAGTATGTCATCAAAGAGAAGAGAGGATTGCTCTGAGAATTTCTCTGATGTTCATTCTGCCTGCCCTCAGCTGGCACAACCATATCCAGGACATGCAGACAGACAGACTTATAGGTCATGTTTTTGTGAAGACATGAAGGAATCTTAGATTACAAGCTCAATATAGCTAAAGAAATTTACAAGAATATTTGTATTTAATTACCTGGCCATGGATGTAGGTTATTTTAAAGCTTCAGCTATATCTTTCTGCTACTCCCTCTTTTATTTAAAATTCACCTAAGTATTGTATGTCAGGATTCTATGGCACCAATAATTTATTTCCTATAGTGTATTCATATTAGGAGAAAATAATAAACCAGTGTGCAAAGTGTAAAGCAAAACCTAGGAATAACCAATTACACAAGAAAATGTCAAGACTCTAACCTAGATTTCATTTTTAATCCACACCGGAGTCTTGAATTCCAAATAATTTTTACTTAACAGCCTGTTTAAAAAATTCTAGTTAAGAGCTCATTTTGGAGGTGGTTCCCAATGCCCTCCTATACTGGAACAGCCAAGTACTGGGAAATCCAAGGGTTGAGGGTGTCATACTTGGGTGCCTATCCAGAACGTGTGTGTGTGACGCTGAACAAGTTACTTAAATTCTTCGATCTTAAATTTCCTCTTATGCTAAAAGCAGAGTATATCAATGCTCATCTCATGGTGCTTTGAGGAATACGAAGGCTTCTGGCACAATTCCATATCTACAACACAAGTGTCCAAAATGGAAATGGTGGAGGGAGAGGGCGTTCACACTATACCTAACTTGCTACCAGATAATTCATGAGTGCGGAAATACTTAAAACCGAGCTGGCGTAAAGGTGCAAAGAGCTGTTTCCAGACCCTCTCGCCCACCTGGGCCCTGCTCTCTGGAGACTGCACAAAAAGGGGCCCAAGAAGTATATCCAGACAACCTTCTCAGAGACCGTAAGAGCAAAGCGACACACACACTTTAGTACACTTCAGGACAACCCACCGCGCGAACTGCGTACCCGCCGCGGGAACTTGGGGCTCCGCTCCCGCCTGCGTTTGGGGGCGCCCCGAAGTTCCGGCCACAGCTGGGGTTCCCAGGGGCACCCTCCCGCCAGACCACCTCTGGCCCGAAGTCTGCTCGAAGGAATCGGTCTGGCCCCGACGGCCCTAGCGCGTTTCGTCCGGGCCAGGCCGGCGCCAAAGGACCCCCTATTTCTTACCGCTACCGTCGGCCGCAGCCCACGCCGGAGTAGGGGTCGTAGATGGGGCGGAAGGTGGGGTCCGGGATTCAGGCCTGGCCTCCTGCGGGCAGCGCTGCATGCTCTCTGCATCCCGCGGGCCGCAGCAGCGGCGTTGTCATGACGACCGCGCGCGTGCGCCAGCCGCCCCAGGCAGCCAACGATCTGCGCCGGGAGCAGATCCACCGCGCGACCCTGAGCGCCGGAACCAGCCGGCTGTGGCGACCTTCGCCATTACTCCGTTGGTCCCTGAGGCCTGATTGGGCGGGCAGTGACCGCCGATGCTATGGAGGCTCCTTGGTCACCCCGTCTGGGTCCAGGTCACCTGCCCTGGGTTAAAGACACGCTGAGGGAGGGCACCCTGTCTCCTTTTCAGGTAGAAGTTCTCGAGGTTTAGGGGGCACAGGTGATGGGCTAGGGCCCGGGCATACAAAGACGATTATGACACAGTCCTTTCTTTCCCCAAAGTGTGCACATACCTGCGGAGGCCAGGCGCAAAAGCAGAGTGGCACTAGCACGGATAGGGCGCGGAGGTAAGGGAGCGTAAAGGGGCTTGTCGATCAGTCTTGTGGAGGGGTGGGGGCATCAGGGAGGGCTTCTTGGAAGAGGTATCATCCTGACTGGCCCGGGTGAACCTGCCAGAGGGCAAAACTGCTTTGTGCGTTTCTGGAGATGTGCAGGTTCTTGGGGCTGCCCAGATGAACCCAGACTGTGTATTGGGGGCGAAGGGGGAGCTGTGTGGCAAGCGAGGCCAAATCCACGTGGAGTCCTGTGCATCCTCTGAGAAGCAGAGCTGTTATGGGGCAGGGCGCTGGGAGCTCTCAAATAGGGAACAGCTGATGGAGGATTTGACACGACCTAGGGGAGATGCAGTATGAAGCAGCTCAGGAGAGATCATAAACCATCAGCTAAGACTGGACTTTGGGGAATGAGAAGGAGACAGAACCCAGCGACAGTTACAGGGTAACGTGTCCAGGATTTGGTACTTGGGCCTGGGGGAGAGAAGAAAAGGAAGGAGGGAAGGAAGGCCCTCTCTTTGGGGTTACCATAGATCAAAGAGAAGTGGAAGGCCCCTGTAGAGCAGCGGTCCCCAACCTTTTTGGCACCGGGGACCGGTTTCGTGGAAGACAATTCTTCCACAGACGGGGGTGGAGGGGAGGCATGGTGGGGTGAAAGGGGCGGGGGATGGTTCAGGCGGTAACGTGAGCGATGCGGAGGGCAGATGAAGCTTCGCTCACTCACCGCCACTCACCTCCTGCTGTGCGGCCCGGTTCCTAACAGGCTGCGGACTGGTACCAGTCCATGGCCCCGGGGGTTGGGGACCCCTGCTGTAGAGGACTCTGGAGCCAGTCAGAGACTCCTTGGCCTGAGCAAAGGTGTAAGGAAGATCCTCAAGGTAAAAACAGGCCATTTAGGAAGACAGTTCAAAGGTGAAAAACAAAATGTCTGAGTCCTCTCTCCTTCCCACTACCCCACCAGCCAATTCCAGACCACCGCTCCACTGCCAAGAAATTGTGCCAGGCAAGGCAGAGGTCTCTTGAAACCCTGTGTAGCCCACGGATTTTAAGCATCACTTGTATTTCTTCAGATTACACATGATGATGATAGAAAAGACAATTATATTTTCATTTACCCCACGTGCTACCAACAAAGTTGAGAGGTAGCCTGAAATACTCAAGTGTGAGTGTAGGTGCAATTCAGCACCCGCCCTTCCCTATTCCTCCCTTAAAGGGGAAAGAGAGGTTGAGGATTAATTAATTGCTGCCCCAGGGGAAGGGAAGAATACTCTTCCAAAGGAGCAAGAAGGGCAGAATTAGACTTTTGTTCCAGAGAGTGACTAACAAACAGGGTCAGAACAGAATAAACAGGAAAGAGCTGCTTTAACCAGGCAAACAGCACTTACAGCACTGTTCGCCCCATCTGCCTTAGCAAACCAAAACAGTATTTACACAGAACGACAGCCTGCAATGTCAAAATGCGTATCAAATAGGATGGTCAAAAAGACACCACATGTACAGCTCATTTCCATTAGTACCTTTCTCATCACCCCCAGTGACTTCCAGGTATGGAGGAGGGATGTAGTTTGGGGGAAAAAAAAAAACCTCCCTGATTGGGGGGTAGGGGAGCAGGGGAGAGGGATGCTGAGTGGATTCACTGGGTGCTTATGTGTCAAGAACTAGGAGTAGAGGGCTTCCCTGGTGGCGCAGTGGTTGAGAGTCCACCTGCCGATGCAGGGGACACGGG